AAAAAAATCATCATGCAAAGGATTTCTCCTAATTTTGACTCCATCAATATGTTCTTCGGGATTCATAAACTTCCCATCCACTATCACGTGTAGCGGTACCTTGTGGGCTATATCCCTGAAGAATAACAAATCATCATTGTCTTTTATTACAACGGGCAACGATTTCTGTTTCAAATTCGGTACCCATGATAGTTGTAAAGAATGTTTTCGTCCATCAATTCTGCATTTTCTACAAATCTTATCAACGAAGGTTTCGAGAGTATCCTTCTCATCCATATATATATGCCAATTAAATTACAATTTGTATACCACACCCAACAACTTTCAGTCTCATTCCATTTTCCTCCAATGTCAAAAAAATCCTCCACTGAGCCATTATTTAGATTTTCAAACTGCAAAAATTTAATCAAGATAATAATATGTCATTAAACCAAACCAAATATCCCACGACCAGACTAAGAACATACCATATAATGAGAACAGACCAAGAACAGACCATACAATAAGAACAACCCAAGAACAGACCAAGAACAGACTAAGAACGGACTGTGCAATAAGAACAGACTAAAAACTGACAGTGCAATAAGAACAGACCAAGAACAGACCAAGAACCGACCATGTTATGAGAACAGGACCACGAACCGACCATGTTATAAGAACAGACCAAGAACCGACCAGAACCGACCACGAACCGACCATGTTATAAGAACAGACCAAGAACCGACCAGAACCGACCACGAACCGACCATGTTATAAGAACAGACCAAGAACCGACCAGAACCGACCACGAACCGACCATGTTATAAGAACAGACCAAAACCGACCACGAACCGACCATGTTATAAGAACAGACTAAGAACAGACCAAGAACAGACCACGAACAGACCACAAACAGACCACGAACCGACCATGTTATAAGAACAGACCAGAACCGACCATGTTATAAGAACAGACCAAGAACCGACCAGAACCGACCACGAACCGACCATGTTATAAGAACAGACCAAGAACCGACCAGAACCGACCATGTTATAAGAACAGACCAAGAACAGACCAAGAACAGACCACGAACCGACCAAGAACAAACCTTTTTTTTTCTAAACCCGGCGGATCTTCATCATATCAGACAATGTAAACTAGTCTTTTAACATGTAAAATTACTATTTTAATGTATTTTTAACTACATTCTCATCTTTAAAACATATGAACAACAACGAAAAACACCATGAGAGATATAGAAAATGAAAGACTTACTTAGTAGCTCTTCTTCAAACTTCGTTTTGGACGAGAAAAAAACGTTGAATAGGCAAGATAATAATATTAATGAGGTTATGCGATGACGATGACTTGAGAAGAAGAGAGGAGAAATTGAAGGCGGCTGGGAGAACAAAATGGCGCGAAATGGAAGATGAGGAGGAGAAATAAAACCCTAAAACCATAATTGATGACGTGGAATGCTGACGTGGAAGTTGGGTTATTTACCCAATTTATTTTTTTGGTGGTTTATTTACTTAAAAACACATTTTACTTAGTCTATTTATACAAAGTTCCCGGAAAAGAAACAAGAATTGTCCAGAATGAAGTCAAGTTCCCAATTCTCTATACACGACTATATACAGCTTTGATCTTATCCTTAAGGCAATTACAAAACTACCCCTCTGTTCTTTCACACTAAGACCGACTAAAGAATTCAACAAATTCTTCCATGTGTCTTCATCCAATTGATCTCAACTCAATTGACTTGGATTCACCTGTTGCAACAAGAACAATTATTCCAACTATGACAGGAGTGTCTCATTGCAATCTACAACTTGTTTGTTTTGATATTTTCACAATTAAATGGAAGCGAATGATGGCTTAATTGATAGTGCTCTAGATTTTGAAAAATTTTCTTTTAACTATGTTGAAGGAAAAAGTAATTGTTACAAAAAGCAACAGAGTATTTAGTAAACTATAATTATAGTAGCTGTACTGATTCTAAAATCAGTGTAATAGCATTTGATAAATTATGAGTTAAATTGATGTGGATGATTAAACATTACAACTATATTATATTATATTATAATATAATATATATAATTACAATATAATGTATAATTATTATATTTAATATAATACAATAAAACTATTATTAAATAACATATTATATAACTAT